CCCCAAAACCCCAAAACCCCAAAACCCCAAAACCCCTCTAGCTTTTAGACAAATTGAAAACTCTATTAATTGGACAACCATAAGCCTTCACTAATAACTAGTCTTGCTTTCTAATTTACTCATGATCGTCTGTTCCATTTCTTCAAGAGTACTAAGCTTTTCAAAGTCGATATCTCTCTTCTCAAAAGTGATACCTAGTTGTTGAAAAATACCCTGAACTCCTTTCTTCTTTACTTCATAATCAATTTCTTTCTTCTCTTCCAAAATTTCATTAGATATTATTTTGATCTTAAAACCTACTTCATCTGATGAGATTTCTTCAAACGCTTTGGAGGCACTATCTGAGTCTAAGAATTCAACAAAGGCTTTTCCTGGTTTTGTATCCATAACTACATTGGGGACATAAACTCCATATCCTTCAAAAATAGTAGCAAGGAGTCCCTTGGAATACTGAGTTTTCTTCCTATCCCACTTAACCTGTATAACAGTCTTAACTTCTTTCTTCCTCTTCCTGCTCTCTCTTCTAGCTTGTTCGAAATGGTTAATGTCCTGTTCTCTTTCTCTCTTCTTAGTCTCTCTCTTAAGGATGTCGATCTCTGATTCTTTCTTTTCTTCTTCCTCGGGGTGTTTTTGGTGGGATTTGGACATCCTTTGGGCCATCATTTTGTCCTGAAGGTTAGAATAAGGGGCGCTTACTAAGTACTCCTTCTCCCTGCGGAGAAGGTCTTCGATCACCTTTTTACGGTCTTCGGATGCGTTGATTAGTCTATGGGTGAGGTTGAGTTTGAGGGAAGAGATAAGGGAAGGAAGGGAAGAAATTTGGGGAGAATGAATTTTTAGAGTGAACTTACCTATCCTGCTGTCTTCTTCGAGCTTCAATCTTAGCGTCGAGTTGCTTATTTTTCCTCTGGATCTGTTAAAATTTTCAATGCTTCTCCTATTTTAAGAAACATCTCTGCGCCTTCTTTAGTTTTATTCTTATCGGGATGGTATTTAAGTGCTAATTTTCTGTAATTTCTCCTAACAAGTCTTTCATTGTCTCAAAGTTCTTCGAGGCCAAGAAGATCATAAGGGTTATTTGAGGAAATCATTTTAAATTTATTAATTAAAGGGGTTTTGGGGTTTTGGGGTTTTGGGGTTTTGGGG